TTTTTTTTTCCTCTACAAAACTTAGAAAAGTTTGGGGGGTTGTACAACCGGGGGGTGATCACAGACAAAAAGGGGGGGGCAATCCCCCCCGGGTAGAATCGTCACTGCACATCTCTGTTTCCTCAAAGTCTCCTCTTCATCTGTGAGGAAACTGTCCGGCATTTACTGCCATTCAATTTCTTTAGCCTTTGGAAAGCATATTTTGGAAGGTTTCTTTTAATTATTTCTGATTTCTGGGACATATTTTCCGTCGTCTGTTTTCTGTACATTGTGTCCCAGAATTAACTCTTTATTTCAATGAAATCGGGCACATTAAAAAAAAAAGAAAAAAAAAAACTGACACAATTTTACGTTCATTACTCAATTATAATACAAAACAAATAGATTTATAATCTTACGTCAAAATTTACTGAAAATTTTCAAAATATACTTCGTCTGTATCCCTGCAAATTTCAAATCTATCCTTAGCATTGCGAAACACATTTCGAAGCAATTCGGAATTTAACTCCTGCGCTGCTTACTGAATGTGTTTTTTAATCACTGCTAAACTATTGATCTTTTGGCGATAAACTTTTCTTTTTATGAAACCCCATCCAAAGAATCCGTTTAGACAACTAAAAGAATGTTCTGAAAGAGAATAGAAATAAAATTATAGAAAAAATTATAAAAAGGACACCTGTGTTTAGGACCAGAAAGAGACAACTGAAATTTCTGGGATGCATAATGAGAAAAGAGGGCTCGGAAAATTTGACACTCAAAGGACATATTGAAGGTCATGAGAGAAACAACAAGTAATCTACTTAACGAACTTGTGTAAATGAATGGCAGAGCATAGAATGCGAAATATCGTAAAAAGACAAACATTTGTATAAGCTACAAAGAATAGGAAGCTGTGGAGAGCCGTAATCGCCAACGTTCTGAAGGGACACGATACATGAAATAAGAAAACTGGTAACCCAAATGTCGGAGTATGAGACGCAAGGTGATTTGAGGAATATTTTTTTAAATTAAATGTAAGCGTGTTTATATTATTTTTGCGGCATAAGGTATGAACCTTCGAGATGCAGAGTGAACCCTAACAAGCTGGTGTAAAATAGAATGCAAAACGTGGACTGGGTGTCGTAGTGAACGGATAGACATTTTTGGGTGTGACAAAGCCATATTCGCCCACGTCATAAAAGTAATGCTCCATGTAAGGTTTTAAAGTTGTCCGCTTTATTTCAGTTAGCCTCCCAAGATGCAAACACAGTTGTAGACGTAGACTATTATTTAGACTAAGACAGTACTACCACAAGGTTATATTTGTGGAAAAGTCAGTAACAAGAAACAAGAGTAAACATTGGTCGGCAGCAAATATTCCAGTGATGAGAGTTTAACTATGCGGCAAACTTGGACCTTCGTCCCTGCAAAAAAAAAAACCCCAAAAAACGGACTGTCAAAAGGACAATTTTTCTGTTGAAACCGCTATCATTTTAACTACCTTCAGTCCTCGTTAATGTTTATTGTTTTAAAAAGCGATGATTGAAATTGTAATAAAACCTTAACCTTTTAAGGCAATCCCCCCCACCCAAGCAAGGCGGGAGTGCCACTAGCACGCAAGGGGTTACAGAGGATTGAGAACAAGAGTAAAGAGGCATGTTTGTGGGGAAAGGATACATAGAAGGACGGGGAACAAGCTCAGGGTGTCAGATGTCGATTGACAAACACTTGAATATTTTGAAGGTTATAGTCATCGGGGAAGCAAGTAAGGGGAAGGGAGTTACACAGATGGGAAGTGCAGGAGAAGAAGCTGTTTGAGTAGAAGAGACGATAACATTTTAAACCGAATTTATACATTTTCTTTGTTTTTAAGAATTGACAACAGAAATAATTAACACTATTTGATAGAATTAGGATTATTGGAATGATTGGCAAAATATCGTTTATTGCCAGTTGATTCCAACTTTATAAAACAGTAAATAATACGGATTACCTTATATTAGGTTCACATATTTGAATAATTTAGTTAATGTTTATACATTTCTGAATAAAAATGGTTTACGTATTTATTTCTTTACAAATTGGTAAATGAAATCTTGAATGAGTTTTAATTGTATTAGTTTTCAGAATGTTGTAAATATAAAATTATTCTTGTAAATAAACAATCTAGTAAAGAAATAGTTTTTAATATTTCTGTTTTAATTCTCCATCCCCCACCCCCCAAAATTATAATATCGCTTTCATTATTCGGACTATATTCCTCATCTTTGCCGCCATATTTATTAGAACGTTTCAGCCGTTGTACGCTCCGGCCTTCTTCAGGTGTTTAGAATGTCGAACTGAACCCTTTATTTCGCTCTAGTTCTACATGCCATCTTTAATGGATGTCATTTATCAATTCTGTCAGTTATCTCCTGTTAATTTTCCCTCTGAAAGTTCCCCATTGCCTTAACCGGGTATTGAATTCACACTCTTTGGGTCAACGCCTTTATCTACTCTGCCATGTGTCCTTGAGGACATCTGTGTATGAATTTCTGGGTATTATAAACCTAATGTCTTCAGCAACCATTTTTACCAGTGCTCATATTGCAATTTTTCCTGTTATCAATCATGTTTTTACCAGAGCTCATATTGCAAGTTTGTTGTTATTATCGTTTTTCTCTGGCACTCCTTATTACTGGTTCCCATATTTTATTTATTTCTATAATATAGACAGATATCGCTTTTATCATATGTTTACGTTTTAGTACAATTCTAATTATCGCTTTTTAAAAACAATAAACATTGCCGAGGAGTGAAGGTAGTTAAAATAGTAGCGGTGTCAATAGAAAAGCTGTACATTTGACACATTTTTGTCGGTACGATGATTCAAGTTTTCCAACTATGCTTAGTAAACGACAAGGATATGTAGAGATTATTATTATATTAGTCTGACTCAAGGCTAAAATACAAGAAACTAGTTTGCTGCAATCTTCCAGAACCAGTCAGAGTGATTTTGTCAAAGCTGAGAAAAAATTGCAACATCTTTATCTATTTAAAAGCTGACGGTAAGATTATCAAAATTAAAATCTAAATTGTACGTCCAATTAAAATTCTATATTTATTAGAAAATATATTCTGTTTAAATAGAGGAGTCTTCAAAATGACATCGAAGGGCTGGAAATTTCAGCTTATATTCTTTTCCAGACAAAAATTAGTCCTCGAGTCGAGTAGTTTTCAACTTAATTCAAATTACATGCATGTGGAGGTTTGAGTGTGTGTATAGATATTTAATTCAAAGGCAGGACTAAAAATATTTCTATAAATTTATTAAAAACTTTAAAAATAATTCTATCTATTACCGAATGATTTCCGAAAAGTTTACTAAAATCTTATTTTTTAGGCCCCTCCCCTAATGTTTTTTCTTGTCTCCAGATTTTCGATTTTATTGATCAGCCCCGGGTTGGAGTTGTCCAAACTGAGCGTAAGGGGAATGTATTATTCCCATGACTTAATTCTAATTCAGTTAAATCGTTTGTGTATATGAATGTACGTGTGCTTTTGTATACATTAAATGACATAAGTGTTGTGAGACCGTAACATACCTACAACATGGACTCTTCCAGGACTATATAAAGTATGCGATATAACAATCTAGAGAGAGAGAGAGAGTATCAGCCGTGTACGACTACCAATATTGGACACTAGCACATAGTAAGCTCCGCTTACACTTACACTATCTTTGTAACCTTTTTGTTTAATATATCTTTCTGACCTCTAATCTGTGTTCCGTGTTTTCCTTCCGTGGTCCGGAATTTGGGTTCACATCAATAAGCACATGTAGGTCACTAACACAGACACACATTACATCGGGCAACATGCAAAGTCATCCGTAGGCAGTCTCTAACGGACGGGTAAATCAGTTGTTCTTTTACACAATATAGACCAGTGCCTTGGCTTTTAGAAAGCTTATTCCTATTATCTCATCTTCGTTAACTACTGGGGCATGTTTGTCACATGACATTCTGTTAAGAAATTTATCGATGAATCAAAGAATAAGTTGTCTCGTGCATTTCCCAAAGGTCGTCCTGGGGATGACGATAGACTACATCCGGCAGCAAGGCCTCTGATTGGGAGATTGGAGCTTTTGAGAAGCGTGGAACCAACTCTTAACAGCTGTTGTTAACAGGACTGGCCCGGGGTAGTAGCACCTGTTAGGGTCCTAGTTATGGGCAAATAGTGAACATGTAAACAAAAATACACAGTACATTTTTATAATGAAATGACCATACATTTTTATAGTAAAATGACAATCGATGAAACACTATTAAAATATATTCCTATAGTAAAATTACCAACAATACATTTTATGATCTACAAACTAAATATCTAAAAAAAGCATGCATTTACTCTGAAAGTATAAAATTATATAAAAAATATCTATAGTTGAAGCTTAAAGTTGTGTACAAAATATTTAGATTTCCTCATTACATAACCCATACAGGTGTTGATATGCCGCTGAAAAAAAAAATAATAAGTAATATCCTACAATTTCTTAAAGAAATCAAACTGTATTCTAAAATATAACTTCTACAAAACTACAACATAAAACACACATATCACCGCCTCTAGGAATTATGTCCACACAAATATCTATATGCACAAAAGCAGAGTATTATCTACCATGTATTCAATTGCGAAAGCAGAATAATATTTATCATATTTTTATTACTTCAAAGCTTACAATGAAATTAAATTTCGACATTAAATGACCCATAAGGAATTGATATACTGTTGAACAAACAAAAACATTCCCCAAAGGATTAAGTAAACAAACGTGACAACGTAAACAGGGATTCGAACCTGGTTGCGTGTTGATGTGCTGGTAGCATAAAGGTTATCGGCGCTGAAAAATGGAAACGGTAAGCGAAGTTCAAATTCTAGCTTTGTCTGTTCTTCGCATTAAAAATGAATCCATTTCTTTTCCCTCCCCTCAAATTGATTTAATTAGCAGGGTAGACAGTGTTCTCTTGCCTTTAAGCTTACGGGCATATCACGTTGAAACACCGGTTCGTACGATCACCGAAGTTAAGCAACGTCGAACATAGTCAGTACTTAGATAGTTGGCCGCTTGGGACTACCAGATGCTGTAAGCTTGGATGTGCGGGTGGTACACTGGGTAACGGCTCAGAATTGGAAATCGGAGAGCCGTGTTTCAATTCCAATTGATTTTCGTTATATTTACTTACGGGCAAATATCCTTTGGAACGTAAGAATCTAACTCTTCTCCCCTAAGCTATGGGTTAATTAGTAGAGTCGTATCAGTGAATCATTATTATCTCCCAAAAAACTTTCTTCCATACTTCCCTGGCTTCGGCTGGGGTAGTTTCAAGATAATATCAAACCCCCTGCCCCAAAGCGGGGGTAATCATCCCCACAGGCAGTACCTCTCCTTCGGAAGTGGAAATGCAGAGGGGGGTGCTTGACGGTAATGTCGTTAAAATCACTTTAAATCTCGATCTTGGTCACATTCATCAGCGACGTGGGCGCACAGAAAAATACACTTACAATCTAAAATATTTACTCGTTTGAAATAAACTGTAAAAGGTTGGTAAGCCGTAAAAAAATAAAGCAATCAATCAACCATTATAGCCTGGGGCGGCAACCAGTCGAGGAAAATGCACTTACAATCTAAAATATTTTCTGACCTTAAATAAACTGCAAAAGGTTGGTAAGCCGTAAAAAATCAAAACAATCAATCAACATAACCATGGGAGGCAACCAGTCGAGGAAAATGTCTTTTCTGAATTCAAAACCATCGATAAAGTGACGGGAAAGCACTTCACTATATTTCACAAGAAGTCGCAAAAAAAAAAAAAAAAAAAAAAAAAAAAGAAAAAGGAATCTGTGGAGAGTCATGATTGTCTACGTCCTGAAGGGACATGGTATTATAAAAAAAAAAGTCACGCTGATAATTGTTACGCGACCTCGCACCATTACTTGGCGACTTTACTTCTATTTTTTTTTTTTTTTTTTTTTGCTGAGAGACAAAAAAAGAAATCTTTTTCTCGCACTATTAGAGTAACAAAGAGGGTGAGTCATGCTGGGTTGGTGAGAAGGTATAATTTTTGACGTTTCGCCCTTTGCCGCCCGGACTAGAGGTCAATCAATTTTCTTTGCAAAATCGGGGTTAAATTGCTGAATAGATTCACTTTGGGGTTCCATCCCTACGTTGACAGGGTTTATCTTTGTTGCTAAGTCAACTAGAACGAAACTCGACGGGAACGGGGCCATTTTGAGGCAAAACCCTTTTTTTTCAAGGAAGTGGGTGGACGGCAAGAACAGATTACTTATTTGCATGCACTGTATATCGAAAGTTTGTGTGTGTGTGTGTGTGTGTGTGTGTGTGTGTGTGTGTGTGTGTGTGTGTGTGTGTGTGTGTATCTGTATCTGTATCTGGGTATATGTGCTTATAGTCGTATGAATAGATGTGCTCTGCCTTATATCAGAATTGTTCATTTAATGGTGAACCAGTTAAATTCAGATGCGTTTCATTTCTCATCAGTGTTATTATTAGAGACCGCAAATGAAATCTACATGAAAAGATCTCTTTTTTCTCAATATCTATTCTATATATATATATATATATATATATATATATATATATATATTATTATTATTATTATTATTAATCCGACAGATTTTAAACGTTATTTTTAATGTATTCTCATATTGAAGTAGACGCAGCGTTTATTTATTAAACAGTATATATATTTTCGTTTACGGGCCTGAATAAGATTTCTCGAATATTCATGCCGATAGATAAAAATAAATAAATATACTAAATATTACTAAATAAACGCAGCGACGACTCAAATAAGAGTATCAACTAAAAATAACGCTTTAGAAATAATATACAATATTTAAATGATTATTCCGGAGTCTATGATTATCGACACTCATTTTTATTACCGGAAAAGAAAGTAATATTTTTATTAAAAAACTAAACAAAACAGAAGTTTTTATTAGTAAGTAACTCACCTACAAAAACGCCTGATAATTATGCACCAACCCAATGTGTGTGTGTGTGTTTGTGTGCGCGTGTGTGTGTGTGTGTGTGTGTGTGTGTGTGTAAAATAGGTTGGTTAATAAAACAGGGACATACGAATGGGTACCAATAAAACCAGTACGATAAACATTTATTAAATATTAACTATATATGACAGAAATGAAGCATATTATATGAAGCACACGCGGACCACTTTTTGTTTTAATTATATATATATATATATATATATATATATATATATAGATAGATATATAGATAGATAGATAGATAGATAGATAGATAAATAGATAGATAAATAGATAGATAAATAGATAGATAGAGAGAGAGAGTGGGAGGAAACAAATATTCATACACATGCAAATTTTTAATTTATTCTATTTCCAACTAATGAATAAACATACTTTTTATATAATTAACTGTACACAGATGAATAATAATTAAATATTGCCTAGAAAACAGAAAAAAATTGATTTAATAGAAATAAATCTCATTTATTTATTTGAATGGGTGTTCGTACAATACAAAAAAGAGTATATTATCTTCATTTAATACTTTATAGAATAGACATTATTCACTTCTACAGCAACCAACCACTTCTTGTAGTTCTTAATTAATGATTTGCAAATTTTAGTTGGTATTTTGTTCCATTCTTCATCGCATAAGGTCTCCAGATTCGGAATGTTTGTTAAAGCTCTTGATTGGATTTGAATTTTCAAACAATGCCACAGATTCTCGATTAGGTTTAAATCTGGGAACTGACTTGGCCATTTCAGGATATTTACATTATTTTCAGCAAGTCATTTCTTCGTAGATTTTTGCAGTGAGTTTAGGATCATTATTTTGTTTGAAGGTCAAATCAGGAGGAAGGTCAGGATTTTCAACCGAAATCATTAAATTTGCTTCCAAAATATGCTGCGACGTTCATTCTACTACCTATTACGGACATATTGACCGTACCTTTTGCAGAAAAACATCGCCAAGTCATGATCCTGCCACCACCAAATTTCATTGTTGGAATTGTGTTCTTTTGTTTGAAGACATCGCAATATTTCCTCCATATATGATTTCTAGAATTACGTCCAAATAACTCAATTTTGGTTTCGTCTGTCCATAATACTCTTTTCCAATATGATTTTTCATTATCATTATGTTCCTGGCATCTCTTTTTTTTCAATAGCAGTGGAGGTTTCTGATGGTGGGCGTGACTTGAGATTGTTCCTCTGAATTTCATTGCTTATTTTCCGATTAGTGACACAGATTCCTGATGAAAGCAAATCATCCTGTAACTCTTGACGAATAACCATTGGATTTTGATTAATTTGATGCATTCATTTCCTCGAAGATCTTGAAGAAATCTTCTATAATTCACCTGTTCTTATTTGGTTTTCAACAGTTTTGAGTATTTTTTATACTTTGCAATGAATGAACTAATGGTAGTAAATGGAATATTCAGGTTGTCTGAGATTTTCCTGTAACTTTTACCTTCCTTCTAGAGCTCAACGATCAGTTCTTGTGAATTTGATAATTCTTTATCTCTTGCCATGATGATAACTTTCTTGCAGGAATATCAGTTACAGAATATTCTGTTTTTATTTTTTGGCTAAAAATAACTCCTGGTAACATTAAAGGAATATTCCACTTGAATAATCTAGAGTATTAAAGCAATTTAAAAGTTTTAAAATCTGAAATTTGCATTGTATGAATACTTTTTTCACCCATTAAAATGGATAAATGAGATTTATTTCTAATAAATCAATTTTTTTCTGTTTTCTATGCATATTTTATTATTATGCATCTGTTGACAGTTAAAGTATGTTTATTCATTAGTTGGAAATAGAATAAATTAATATATATATATATATATATATATATATATATATATATATATTTGGTTGGATAGATGTGAGTTTGAGACCCTGGGTTTCACGCTTTAGCGATCGTCAGACAAACAAAGCGTGAAACCCAGGGTCACAAACTCACATCTATCCAACCAAACATGTTAGCTCTATCTCTGATATTGAGCGCTTTATAATAAGTATGGCGTATATAATATATAAATAATTATACATACTTATATTTATTTATATTTATATACCTTTCACACACACACACACACACACACACACACACACACACACACACACACACACACACACACACACACACACACATATATATATATATATATATATATTGTTTCGCGTCATTTCCTCTTTAGCCAGATTACTCTGAAGATCCGTTTAGTTGAAACCTAGGTAGGTTGTTCCTATCTGTTTAGGATTTATTTTATTTATCCCAGCTCTACTGAGTGTATTGAGCACTCTACGCTTTATTATATATATTATATATATATATATATATATATATATATATATATATATATATATATATATATATATATAATAAACTTCTAGATTATTCGTTTTCCGACAACACCCGCCTGCTAGGGAGATTAGTCAATATTCAGGTGCATTCGTGTTTGTCCAACTGGCCTATCTGTGATTTTACTGAAACTATGCTTAGATGGGCTTAGTAACAGTTTCCGGGCGATTGCATCGTTTGACGCGATCAGAAGTTTGAACAGCGCTACTAGTCGCGAACACTCGGTCACGAAGTTTCGAGACTTCAAGAGTTTCTTCCACCCAATTTCACTTGCAAAGCTTTTTTGGGGGTTTTTTATGAAAGAATTTCGTACACACACACGCGCAGACTTCTATCCATCTATCTGGGGATTAAAAAGTATTATATATATGTGTGTGTGTATAGTGTAAATACTTCTTTGATTTTATAAAAGCAGACCAAGCGCATCCATTACTAAAGGTTTCACTGTCGTAAAGCGATCGTTTTACGACAGTGAAAACTTTTGTAATGCGTATGCTACGTACGTTTTTACTAAGATCCGGAACAACGTAATATTTCCATTGTTTGTGCATAAAAAATCAGCGTTAATCGAAAGAAAGATTACCGTAAACTTTTTTAAAACTTAATAACTCAAAAACGTACATATATTTATATGGACTTTTGTCCTTGTCTTAGTATGAGTAGACCCCCACCACCACCACCACCAAGTTTGTAAAAGTATTTT